GTTTGGTGGGGCACCCTATTGATTTATGTTGTCTGTTAAAGAGGGAAATTCTTCCTCTAGCCTGCAGATCATTAAGTGAATGGTTTGCAGTGTGCCTTTAAAATTCTTTGAACTCATTGAGCATGTTTGTCCAGTGAATTTTGAATTGACTCATAGTAATGACTTGTTTTGATTCTGTGGCTTTTTCTACTCTCCACATGAATTTGAATTCTCTGTTGCATTTTGTATACGTGTTCTTAACAGGGGAAGAAATTTTGCATTTTTTACAGAGGTGGGTTTTCCTACCCTCTCTGAATGCTTTCTGTAATTGATACAGTGAAAATCTGTTATTGCAGTGCTTAATTATTTCAAAAACTATTTTTTTGGCTTAATCAGAAACAATGACAAAAAATGATAATAAAAAATATGAAAACCTTCCTTCCTTTGAAGAATAGAAATGAGGTGGTCAGGCATACAATTGCTTTGTACCTGACACACTTACTTTCATGTCATTGTGTATCATGATTCGGAGATGGAGTTCCCTCAGGTTTATAGATTTTTGTTTTAACCCTTGTGTTGAATTCATTTTCTAGGCTGATGTTTCCTATTACGTTTGTGGAAAGTGTAGATGAAGGGAAACAAATGTTTTGTTTTGTTTTCAGGAGGCCTGAGTTGCGGATGGGAAAAGAGTTGAGGGTGGGCTGAGGAAAAGAGTGACACTCCCTCTCCTCCCAGCTGAAACTGATGAACAATGAAATCAATTAGCTGTATCAGTATTTGACTAATAGAAGTCAGACAGCCCGAAATGTCTAGTTATGCCCAATGGAATGTACTGAATTCACCTGCAGAATTAGGTGATTTACCAAGTAGAAGCAGCTTAGAGCAATCAGAAAAATCAGTCCTTTGATGAGATATAAAAAGAATATAATAACTTTTATTTCTGAAAATTTTCTACGTTAAGTTGGGTAGAGCTAAAATTAATTTTCAAGCACCAGGAGTCAAGAGTGTGGGTGGTTCTGTAGGATCGTTATTCAGGGATGTTTCTAGACCCTGCTGGAGTGACTGAAGCTGGCAGGAAAAGACCCAGAGCCAGGATTTGTCATTCTAGGGTGTCCTCCTTAATGGTTCAATGTGGGAGCCCATGATTGGGTTAACAAATTGTAACAGACCCCAGAAGCCTGTCAACTTTAAGAAGAAAAAATGTGCTTAGTAACTGCTTTCAAGCAAACACCTGTGCATCCTCACTTCTGTCTCCTTGCCATAAAAAGCAGAGACAATGCCTTGCTTGCATAGTTCAGGTTTTAGATTGCACTCTGCTCATTGCACAGCAAAATATAAAAGCTGGGCGTGCATGCTGTTAGATAGTCTATTATCCCCCAATCAAGGACCTGGCTGGTCTGGTGGTCTGCTTTGTAATCAACATATTTAAAGAGTGTATCTTGTTCCCCTCTCCCCATGACTTCCCTAAAGGTAAACAAAGCCTTTATACTCTTTGTGGATTCTACACTCTCTGTCTGATCCTGTCTTTCCCTAAGTTCCTGTTTACTATCACACACCTGTGAATGACTATTTCCTTTGATTATACACAATAAATATGGGAGCATTTGAGAGGCTAGTGGAGTTGGCTCCCTACTCCCTCTAGATTTCTTAACTTTTTCCACAGTCTTGAGTAATGCATTCCGTGTCGGTAAGACTTCTGCCAGCCAGAACCCACAGTTCCAGGTGAGAAGTATGGAGGCTTTATCTCTCCTACCCAAGGGAGAGAGAGAAGAGAATTAAGATCTTTTCCCCGGTGGTCCCTTCCAGCCCCAGGGACACTCGAGTTAACCTGCAGCCTTCTGGCCTCTGCTCACAGGGCCTCTGTACCAGGGCTGACCGTAGCCATTTCTTCCCTTGTCAACATTTCCTGTGCCTCTCAGAAGTTGGTCTCTTCTCTGCAGTTCAACCCTGGCAGATGTGAAGGTGGTCTGTGTGCTGGTGGGTAGTCACTTGGGGGCTGCCAGGAGCCATGCTGATTCTCCTGAGTCTCTCACTCGGGGTTACAGAACTGTCGAGCAATGGAGGAAGCCCATTCAGGTGAGGTCAACATAGAATTACATCACTTTCATTTTATTTTTGAATTTTCAGTGGAGAAATTATTTGTAGCAAACTGTTCCAGATTTTCAGCCGCCTGCTTTCCTAACCACCATTTCCTTGTTGGCTCTGGTCTTGTTTTAAGAACCAAGTTTCTTCTCTGGTCATTTCTAGCAGCTGGGCTTGCCGAATCCTTGACCTGCATTTGAAGCAGAATGCTTCTTCATGATGTCTAACTGATTTTTCTTGTCATGTCTGAATATTTCGTGTACACTCAGCAACTGTTTCAAGTGAAATGCACTTGTCCAATTTCGGTTCACTCACATTTGCTGATCTGCTGCTCTCATGCTGTTGGCAATTTCTTCTTCCTGTAATAAAAGCAAGCAATTTGCATTTACTATGGGAAGGTACTGGCCCGAGGTGCTTTTGTTCTTAACAGTTTTATTACAATTCACCCATTAAGGTGTACAGAGGATTTTACTCTATGCCCAGGATTGTGCATCCCAATCAATCTTTGAACATTTTCATCCCTCCAGCAGGAAGCCCCGTATGCATAAGCTGTCATTCCCATCTTCCCCATCCTCCCCCACCCCCAGGGAGCCACTCTTCTGTCTCTGTGCATTTTCCTGTACTGGGCATTTCATGTAAATCAAGTCACTTCATGTAAGTGGAACCATCTATTGTGACTGACTTCTTTCACACTTAGTAATGTTTTCAATATTTGTCCACGTTCTGGCCTGGGTCAGTACTCTATGCTTTGCTATTGCTGAATAATATTCCACTGCATGGCTGGGCCCCTCTGTTTACCCATTCATCACGTGATAGACATTTGGATTTTTTCTGCTTTTTGGCTGTGATGAGTAATGGCTCCGTGAATATTCCTGTAGCAGTTTTTATGTGAACATTTGTTTTCAATTCTCTTACGTGTGTGCCCAGGAAGCAGAATTGCTGGGTCATTCAGAAACCAAATGTTCAACTCTCTGAGGACCAGCTAGGCTGTTTTCCAAAGTGGCCATGCTATGTTACAGCCTCACCAGCGAGGGCTGCTGTTTCTGCTTCCTCTGTGTCCTCATTAGTGCTTGTTATTATTTTTTCTATTATAACCTATTGTAGTGAGTCTGAAGAGGTTTCTCCTAGTGGTTTTGACTTGATTACCATTACAGCTAGTGATATTGAACACTGTTTCATTGTGCTTATTAGCCATTTGTATATTTTCCTTGAAAAATATCTTTTCAGATCAGTTATTCATCTTTTAATTAAGTTGCTTTTTTATTGTTGATTTGTAGGATTGTTTTGCTTGTTTTTTATCTGTTTTGTTTTGTTTCTTTTTTTTTTTTTTTTTGGAGATACAAATTCCTTATCAGATAAATGATTTGAAAAAATTTTCTCCTTTGTGTTGGTTTTTCACTTTCTGGATGATGTCCTTTGAAGCAAAGATTTAAATTTTGATGAACTCCAATTTATCTCTGTTTTCTTTTTTCCTTGTGCTTTTGGGGTAATATTTAATATGTGAGGTATTTTATTTAAGCTTTTATATATAAAATAACTAAATTATTAGGACCGTTCTAGGAGATGGGTGCTGTTGTTTTCCCCAGTCTATGGAAAGGAGAATGAGATGCAGAAAATTTCACTGACTTAGTGTCAAAGCTACCCAGTGCTGTGGGAATTCAGACCCTCATGTTTTCCCTAGCATCTGTGCTCTTCACCACCATGCTCCACTCCTTCCTGGAATCGTTAATGAAAGTCTTTCCTTTTCTGATTTGTTGTTAGTTATTTTCTCATTGGGGACTTCATCTCCTCATTTTCTTTACAGAGAGCTCATTATAGGTTTATTTTAGGTCTCATGTAGGCAGAAGCATTGCTGTCAGTTAACTTCTTTATTACTCAATCTCCAGTGATGATTGTTGCTAATTGACCTAATCAAGTCATGCTTAATTCTTTCCTGCTCATGACAGTAAAAACAGTCATGACTTACAGAATGCTCAAAGAAGAAAGTACTTGATTGATTTTATTTTGCTAACCAATCAAACCAATCAAATAAAAACCCTGGAGTTGATACAGACTATAAGCCCTCCAGAATAGGGTCACTGTCTTCCTTGTGTTTCATTTGTTTGGTCACAGTGTCTGGTTAGTGCCTTGCTGTCCTGCAGTTTTGTTAGGATACGGTGCTCGTGAATCATTGTAAGGACAGAATTTTGACAACACTCTGTGTTGTTCATTTCATGAGGGAAAAGATAATATAGAAATACTGCTTAGAACTATTTTAAAACTAAGCTTGGAATTTTAAGAAAAGTTCAAGAAACCATACAAAGATCTTTTTCACTAATTTTAGATCTATCTGAGACACATTATGTTACATAGCAGACTAATTTATCAACCTGATTTGACAAGAGGAGTATATTATTAATCATTTGTTTTAGTTGAAATATTCTACCTGGGATAATGTAATCAGTGCCCATAAATGAAAAAAATGTTTGTATTTCTATGCAGTATGGGAGCAGACTTCATATGTTTCTATATAATATATATGACTGTGTTTTAATCTGTCTGTCAGTGTTTTTAAAGTTTTTCAGCAATGTTGTAACTTTATAATTCTTCTAAGAAATTCACCCCTGTGTCTAGTGCAGTTTGTACTGTGTATCCTATCTTATGCATGGGATTCAACTCTCCTCTCAGTGAGGAATTTCCTCTCCTACTGAGTTAGTAGCACAGTTAAAGGAACTGTGATTTCTAGGCTTTTGCTCTCCATGTGTTTGCAGTTGGCTGTCAATTACAATTTTCCCTTTCTTGAGTTTTCATTGTTCAATTAGAATTTTTGTAAATAACTATTAATATGTTGCATCAGTATCCCTAGAAACTTAATGTGTTTGTGCTTTTCAGTTTTCAATTTAGGAAAAATGTAAATGCACCCTTGTTTTAAGTAGTCCTTTTTCACTAGATTCTTGTTTACCTCTTTATAGTTAAAATAATTTCTTCCCAATTAATGAATCAGTGTGCATGTTTAAAAGATACTTTACTTTTTATTTTTCTTATTGTAACAGTTATATTCATTGTAGAGAATTTAGAAAATAAGGATAAATACAGTAATAACTTCACAATGGCCTCTAATCTCAACTGGAGGTACAGTTGTAAGGCTTGAAATTGAGAGTTACAAGTCCTCTCACGATGTTCTTCTTTTTCAAGTACGTTTTGGTTACTAAGACCCTCGAATTCCCTTATGAATTGTAGCAGCAGCTAGTCATTTACTGCAGAGCAGCCCGCTGGGATTGTGATCGAGACCACGTTGAAGATACGGATCATTCTGGGGAGCACTGGTATTCCAAGAGCACTGTCTTCTGATCCATGAATGTGTGTGGTTTGTCTGTCCAGGTATTTAGGTCTTTTTAAGTTTTTTTTTTCAACAATGCTTTGAGATTACAGAGTATTATTTTACTTTATTTATTTTTTATTTTTTTGCCTTTAAACTGAGGACAAGTGTGCAAGGTACCGGGATCAGAATTACATTTGAGCCCCGCCACTTGCTGCCACCATGGTCGCTGCACTCTTGCTTCACCCGCTGTACAATCTTGCACAGTATAGGGCCTCAGTAACTCTCTCTTCAATGAATGATTATATGATTGTTGGATGATGCTTGAGATTCCTTGTGATAAATTTTTTTTCCATCTTTCCCCAATTCTTAATTATGTCCTTTCTCTTCCTTACCTCCATCCTTGGTTTCAGCCTACCTGTGGCATTGATTTTTCTTGTCTGCAGACACTTCCTTTCATTGGTTCACCATAATGTTACATGTGGGTTGTGGAAACTTGCTAGATATCAAGAAAGAGCAAATTCATTGCATGCTAGTATTTTTAGAGTGTGTTATTCTTTTATTGATTGAAATTAAATCAGGCTGACCCCCTGAGCCCTCCCGTGAGCTCTTTTCGCCTTCCTACAGGTGATACTGCTCTGATTGCTGCATGTGGCCATACCCCAGTCTTGGTTTTGGAGTTAAGTCACCGTCAGTGGAGCCCTCTCGTTAAAAGATGAAGAGAACATTTGCTCCTACTCCTTGGTTTGGGACTTGGATGACATGAAGTACAAGATAAAGAATGGAGCCCCACCTCATTCTGACCCCTGCTCTTTCCGTTCATTTTTCCAGGGGAAAAGAGTACAATTCAACAGTATAAAGATTGATTGTGAGCTAATGAGATAGACAAGACAATTGATTATTTATTAAATATCCTTTCATGCCAGAAACAAATATACACACAAAAAGCACACAAAACACAGTAGTACCGTGGTTACTAACGTGGGTCCGAGTTCGAGTCCTGCTCAGGAGTGACCAGTCCTGTGAGATGGAGAATTGGTAGGTCGGCTTAGCCTCTCCCAGACTTGTTTTCTGTCCTGCAGAGACAGGGCTCGCTTGGCGTCCCCCCCGTAGAGGTGCTGTGGGGTGTAATTAACGCACGTGGGCAGCCCGAGCACAGCTGCTCGTTCCTCGTAAGTGCAGGATAGCATAGCTTTAGCGGTGATGGCTTTATGACCGCCCCGTGTAGACTCTCAGTGCTCCAAATGGATGCCTTGTGGTTTGGAGATGGGATTCTCACTTCTGTAAATTGCCAAGGATTGTGTTATTGCACCCTGCTGATTTGAAACTATTCTTTAGAAAGTACATATTGTAGATATATTTTTCAACCATGCGTGCTTTTTTCTTTTATTATTTATAGTTCCACCATCTCATCACTTTATGAGACTTTTCATGGAATCCATGAAACAGTCCTAAGCTACCTGCCTCTTCACACTTCTCCGTGGTGGTTTTCTTCCCTGACTGGAAGAGGGTTTTGCATAGGAAATTTTCTTTGTTCCCCTTTTCTTGGAGTCTCTCTGTCTCTCTGCCCATCTCTCACCTGTCCATCTGTCCATGTATTTACCCACTCATTCTTCTGACTTGTTCTATGAACCATTTGAGGCAGCTTACAGAAGAACAGATACCAAACAAACAGGTGAGAAAATTGGGCCAATTTCAGACAGTGAGGCTAGGAGGCGAGCCTGTGTGAGTGTTGCTGGCATGAGACACACGCCTCGCCCTGTGACTTATAAGATCAACAGCAAGAGTGTGCCTGAGGCTCCCAGCAGACACAGGGAAACAGGGTTTGTGGGAGATGCTCACTGGCTGTGAAATAAATAAGTGGCTTAGGAGAAGCCCAGCCTTTCCAGCTACTAAGGCTTAGGAGAATATTTTAAGTGTCTTCCAAAATCAGAGTATTTCATCTTTTCTTTTGTCACAGTTCTACGTATAGTTGGTTACATTGTATACCTGGAAATTTCTCCAAAACTGTTTCCCACGTGAGTCCCATGGCTCGGGAATGGGGTGGTTCTGCTCATTGATGGGTGTTAGCCCGAAACAGAAAATGACAGCCTCAAAGGAGCCTGGGATTTGACAGTTGTGTTTTGTCAGTACTGTAGAGTTCAAAAAATCCTTTCACAGTTTCTCTCCATCTGAGGTGGCAGCATGCTCTCTTACCAGCATCAGGAGCTCAGGGCCACGGGATGGTGGGTTCTGACTGCACTGCCGTCAAGACAGCTAGCTAGTCACTGCAGGTGTGGTGCTTTTACATAGGGAATTCCATGTTCTTAAGAAGAATGTTTCAACATGTAGTTAATTAACTGAGTTAATTAACATTTAGTAAATATGATGCTTTGTTGAAAAGACAGTTATAGGCAGAATATAAACTGTGAAGACTTTAAAAACTATTTCATTACTGAAATTTCAGTGGGGAAGATACATAGTTTATCTTATTTTTGCCTCTCTTTTAAAGTAACAAAGAAACAAGACAGAAAAGGCAGAGGATGATTTCTGTTCTTCCTCTCGGCTTGCAGGTGCCCTCACCTCCAATAGCATCAATCCAGACACCAGCACTGACACTGGCCATGTGTCAGTGCTCAGAACTGCCTCAGCCCTGAAGACACAACTGATAAATAGAAGGGGGCCACACCCTGTTACAGCAGGTGCTCTCACTTTGTGGGTCCTTATGTAACTGCACGGCGTTATTAAGGATCGCCCTTTATACATTGTGTGACGCTGCTGCCGTGTCTCCTAGTTACTTGTTTCTGTAAGTATTCATGTATTATTCTCCAATGCATGGTACTACACACCTAAAAATGATTTTTACAGATGTAAAATAATGTGCATTTAATATAATAAGTTTGAAAAAAGGGGCAAAAGAGGCTATATTTGTCCCGCTTCTCAGAGATAATAATTAACACGTTAACATCTTTTTTCTGTTCTTTTCGTCATTGTGTATCACCTCTGTTATAAAAAACCAGTGAGCACTCTGTGCCTCTTTACTGTGTGGAGACCTCCATGTTCCATTCGGCTTATTACATGTTTTCCTACAATATTCTATCTCCCCTGGCATGATTTTTACTGACCAGTATAGCATTTTGTCTTGTGGAGGCAACTTCCATTTTCCTTCGGACTTAAATAAACTTTTAAATTCCAAGTATACTTAACTGAAATACTGAAAAGAGAACTGTGGTGGTACAGGATGTGCCCTACCTCCCTTACCTTTATTTCCTGATAGTAAAAGTTGTTGAAAATTTGGTATATATATTTCATGATCTTTATGCCTATGACATACATATATATACACATGTGAGAAATCAATGTATACGTATGTGTATATATGCTTTATTTAAAAGTGAGACCATACTATATGTTTTCTGCCGCTTGCTTTATTCACTTGGGTATATCATAGACGTCCTTCCACTCCAAACTCACCCAGTCCTTTCAGATAGAGTGGAGTGTTCTCCCGATGTGTGGGAGTGGTCTCTTGTCCATGGATACCTTTCGTGGGACAGTGCTGTGGACAAGGCCCTGGAACATGGCGAAACGCTGGCTCCCTCAGAGTCCGCAGCTCGCCGTGATTTACCGCATCATTGTCTTGATGGTGGACACTTAAGATTTCTCCATTTTCCACTGTCAGAAAGGATGTTTGACTGGCATCCTTCTTCTACAGACATTCCTGTGATCTTGTATGAGTATTCCTTTAGTTAAGGCTTCTCGAAATTTAGTCCCTGGATGTGACATTTACATTCATCACAGACTCCTTTCAAGTGACTCTAGAAATTCCTTCTCCAGTGGGGAATGAAAAGATGTGCAGTTAATTATGTAACCAATTCTCTATCACTGGATATGATTTCACTTCAGTTTTCTTCCCACCATTGTAAACAGTGCTGTGTTAATGCCCTGATGGGTACATCTTTTTGAATGATTTTTTTTTCCTAAAGAAAACGATTCCTAGAAGTGGAGTTGAGACAGTGTGTATGTACGTTTTTCAGAGTTTACATATCCATTGACATTTCGTCCTCTGAAAAGGTCGCTCATGGTTTATTCACCCACAGATGGACACTAGCTAGAATATCTTTTATAAATATTTGCCAACATGATGAGCAAAAGTGTTTTTTCACTGTTTCAGTTTGCATTTGATGACCAATGACGTATTGAGCATTCTTCACTCATTAGCCATTTGACTTTTTTAAAATGAATGATTCTTTTTTCCTTTGCACACATTTAAGTGAGGGAGCTTCTTGTTGCTTTGTGACAGCTCTTTGTATGTTATGAACATTAACTTCTTGCCTTCATCAACATGTATCACCGAGCTTTTTCTTGTCATTTCTTGCCTTTCATTTTGTTCAGGAGGCTTTTTATTTTTGTTGTAGCTCAAAATATTCTTATGATAGTAAATGTCTTCCTTATGGATTTAATCTTTGGCATTATTTTTAGAAATACTTTCTTATAATGGAATAAATCTCTTCTGTAGATTTTTTAATCTCTAAGATGGAGATGATAATAGTATTTGTTATAGTGAGGGTAAGTTGAGTTTATAAGAGCAAAGAGTTGTATTTGCTGTTATTAGTACTTTTTAATATTTACATTACTCTCTGTAATTTATCCTGTGTCATTATGACAGGAATAAAATTTATGCTTCCCAGGTGATTGTCTGTTGTCCCAGGACAATTATGGAAGTCACACTATTCTCTTTGATTTGAAATCCCACCTGTACAAAATACCTACATACACTAGAGTCTCTTTTTGAGCTCATAGTTCCTTTCTGTCAATCTCCCATTCTTACTCCAGCACCATATCTTACATATTGTAAAAATTTATTTAATAACTGGCAGTCTGATTTTTTTGATTCTTTTCTTCCATCCCAAATTTTCTTGTCTAGTATTATGACTTTATTATTCCTGAAGAATTCCAAAATATTTTGTTCAAGTTAAAAAAAATTCAGATTGGAGTTTTCATGGTATTTTTTTGTAAGTTTTGAATTATTCTTAGGAGAAGTTACATCTTTATAAAACTGCTTTCCTCCATGCAATATGTCGATGTCTCTGCATTCACACCTCTTACTTTACCCCTAAGTACAGTCCTGTACTGTCTTCATTTAGAACATGGGCATTATTTTTAATTCATTCCAGATTATTTTTTATGTTTTTGTTAATATTGTAAGTGATAATTTTTTGCTATTATATTTTTAAATGCTTAAAACTGGCTTTTAGTAGGGAAGATTCGGTTGTAAATACTTACTTTGCAACTTGTCATTTAAAATTGTAAGTATTAATTACTTGTTCCAGAATCCTTTCTTTTCTGTTTTTAAAAATTCGTTTCCAAGATTCTCAAAATGGTCATAGCTAACTAGTATATGTAGGGAGACAAATCGAGAGAGGTAGTGTTGCTCATGTACAGACTGAGCAGTTTCATGGCTGCCTTTAGGCTGGAGAAGCCACAGACGAGCCCAGGTTAGACAAGGGGTGGCTTTGTATGCACTTGAAAGCCAGCTTTCCTGCCTGTATGGTGGAGCCTGATGGGCGTGGCAGGTAGTTGATCAAGGTCTGATCAAGGTCATTGGCTGCACAGAGTGCTGTGTCTGTGAGAACTAGCGACCATTGCCATGGGAAATGCTTGGTGCCAGGAACACTGTAGGGGAGCTGGAGAGCCTGTGTGTTAAGGATTTTCCAGTCCTGTGAGTGGGAAGGGCAGAGTCTGCATTCACATCTGAGTTTGAATTCATCTTCTTTAGTTTTCTTGTCCTCTGACTTTTGTCAAGTTATACA